CCATAAATGTGCTTTGCAGTCTCTGCATCAATGTCTGACAGAGGTTAAGTGCTGGTTGGCAAATAATTTTCTTCAATTGAATGAAGATAAGACAGAGATGATTTTATTTGGTAATAAGGGTTATGTTAATTATATCTATGACTGCCTAGGGCAGTTTCCTGGGAAGAAACTGTCCTGTGTAAAAAACCTTGGTGTCATCTTTGACTCTGAGCTCAAATTTGACCGACAAATTAATGCTGTTGTTAAAAATAGCTTTTTCCATCTAAGGTCAATATCTAAGCTGAAGTCCATCCTCTCTTTTGAAGATATGGAGAAGGTTGTTCATGCTTTTGTGTCATCTCGTTTGGACTATTGTAATGTGTTGTATCTGGGTTTGAATCAGCTCTCTCTCTCTCGTTTGCAGCTTGTCCAGAACTCAGCTGCCAGACTTTTAACAAGTACAAAGAGGAGAGAGCATATTACTCCTGTGTTAATCAAACTGCATTGGTTACCTGTACGATACAGAATTTATTTAAAAGCGTTGCTGTATGTTTATAAGGCTGTGCATGGTCTATCACCTGATTTGTTATGTTACTGATTACTGTGTCTGTCAATCCAGTAGATCTCTGCGCTCAATTGAACAACTACTCCTAATGGTTCCGCGATCTCGTCTAAAATGTAGAGGGGATTGTGCTTTCTCTGTGGCAGCTCCTAGGCTCTGGAATGCCCTTCCTCTGTTTATTAGAACTTCTCCAACTTTGGGTGCTTTTCAGAGTTCGCTTAAAACTCATTTGTTTTCTCTAGCTTTTGACAGTTTTTTAGCTGTGTATGATATTTGTTGTTACTATTATTATTTATGTATTTTTATTTTTTTATTTTGTTTTACTATTATTATTTTTCATTTGTTTTTATATTATTCTTATGTTTTTTATCTTTCTCTGTACAGCACTTTGGTTCCAGTCGTGGTGTTGAAAGTGCTTTATAAATAAAGTTTGAGTTGAGTTGAGTAATATGCGTGCTAACAAGCAACTAGTTGATAGTGAGAATTGGTCCTTAAAATAAAGTGTTACCTAAGTTTTTTATGGCATCAATCACATTCTTTTTTATTTTCTGAAAGCATTGATAAATAAAGAATATCACAGGCTATATATCATTATGGATTCATTTTTCTTACAGTTCAGAAAACATAAAAACACAAGGCAAGAAAGCCATAACAAAAGAGGATGCTGTGCCTTAAAGCCATGGCTGGCTGGCAGGTTGTGTGTTTGACAGTTTTGTGGATGTGTTCAGGGATCTTCCTGCAGGACTCCAATCGGACTCTCAGCATTCAGCGAGTGCGAGAGGAAGACGCTGGTCTGTACACCTGCAAAGCCTGCAACCAGAGGGGCTGCGTTCAGTCCTCCGCCAATGTGTCAGTCATCGGTGAGAGCCTCTTATTTGCGTTAGGTGGCGCTGTAGTATACAGTTCACTCTCCTTACTTCAGGATTGTGCTTTACCCTTCAATTTACATTATGTAGTGGAACATATACAATAGATTCAAGCTTATGTACACAGACGAGCACACAACATACACATTTGTTTTTATACCATAGTGAGGGCTTCACACACTGATGTCTGTTCTTAAATATTCTCAAGCTAATTTTAATTACAACACCCTTACTCTACCCTAACTAAAACTAAAATGTTTGATTTTTAATTAAACTTATTTCATCCCTTTATGAAGATGTGTTTGCTGTGAGGACCCCAAACCCTTACCCTAACAGACATAGCTCCTTTCTAACCTTCATTCATCTTGCCTTTACCATTGTATACATAATGAAATGTGTTATATGACAGCTAATATGTAATATTAGTATTTGCGTATAACGTAATAATTTGAGAAAAAACTTGAGAAAAAAACAAGCAACAAATTGTCAAAAAAAAAATCATATTTGTCTTTTTTGCCAAACAAACTTCTAGAATCTACAACATGTATTAAAATTAAATCAGTTTAGAAGATGTGAACTTTCATATTCAGTTACAATGATAAGCTTTAATACAATAACTTTTGTCTGCCAGGCTTTGATGACAAGACCAATGTAGAAATAGTGATTCTCATCGGAACGGGAGTCATCGCCATCTTTTTCTGGGTCCTTCTCCTTGTTATCTTCTGCAACGTCAAGCGAGTCAGTACAATGTGCTTCATTTTACATGCAATCATAACACTTCAATACATCTCTATTAATGAACATAGTTACACAAGAAACATTATTTAAATCTGCCCATGATGCCAGCGAGGCTTTTCAGTAATAAGATGCACTTACATCAATGCCTTGCCTTCAGTACAACATAAGAGCAAATCATATCAGCACTTCAGCGCTGAACATGAGTAGTGGAGTCAGCAATTCTACGAGCTGATGTGGAGCGCAGCCGCCTCAGGCTCGCTGTTTCTGTCTCCTTATAGGCTGCGGTATCATCCATCAGTAATTGTTATGATGTTGTCCTGCAGGTGAACCCAGCAGATATCAAGACAGGCTATCTGTCAATCATCATGGACCCGGGGGAAGTGCCGCTTGAGGAGCAGTGTGAATACCTGCCCTACGACTCCAGCCAGTGGGAGATATCCCGAGACAGACTGCTCCTCGGTACGTTCACAGAGAGTGCATTTTAAAAACTCTGATACAGGCTTTAAATTGGTCCATATGAAGAACATTCATGGCTTGTATCCCAGAAGTAAAGCATATTTATGGTCTAGACATTTTCAGTATTAGGCTTGACTGTACTCAGGAATCTTTGTATGATGTGATAAAGGGTGGTTTGTGAGGGTTTGTATTTTATTTTTTTTAACAAATGTAACATTAAAATATAGAACGGGGCCTGCTCAGGTATTCAAAATAAAACTGAAACAGTGATATATCTTATCAAATCAGGCTGTTGTTTAAGTAAAGAAGTATATATAGTCTGTGTCACTGTGCTCGTTTACATGTGTACAGCTGATGTTAACAATTTCAAAGTGTCTCAGTTCACAGTAAATGCTGCTTCTCACAAAACTCCATCTCTGCAAGCGCTATGAGTTTAACATGGATTCGGGAATGTAAAGTGTGCTAGGTTCCCTTTATTTGTGGACAGACGTTGACAGCATTTTGCCAAAATAAAAGCTCAAGGATTTGACTGTTTGAAAGTGAAGAATTTAAGACACTAATATTTGTATTATAATTTGTAATGTCTGTTGGTTCTGAAGTGTGAAGCTAAATGTGAACATGCAATTTCCATTAGCAGCAGAGTCTTTGTTCTTTGTGGTGTTCTCAGTCTCTCAGCATGAGCAACATGTGATAATCAGTGACGCATTCTAATCTTGCATGCTATGTATTTATTCTTTGTTCATGCAGGGAAGGTGCTTGGGCATGGAGCTTTTGGGAAAGTGATCGAAGCTTCAGTCTTTGGGCATGACAAGAAAACCTGTTCAAACACAGTGGCAGTGAAGATGTTGAAAGGTTCAATCTTACCGAAAAACTACAGTTGATACAAAAATGTCCATTCACTTTCGTATATATGATATATATATATATGTATACTTAACGGCATGTGTGTATATCACAGAGGGAGCCACAGCCAGTGAACACAAAGCTCTGATGTCAGAACTTAAGATCCTCATTCATATTGGAAACCATCTCAATGTTGTCAACCTTCTTGGAGCATGTACCAAACCCAACGGTATGAACGTACCATTATAAAATAGATACCTTTTGGTCCTGGATGCTGATTGGTCAATACAGTGATTCAGTATCGAAATATTACATCCTCAGCTACTGTGTATATCACTGCAGGATGTAATGTTTACATGTCAGGGACCATCTTCTGGCAGAATGATACCACTTACAAAATGCACTTACTTTTTTTGTGTTGACCTGGCCAATATGGCAGTATTTTATGAAAAAAGCCATAACCTTTTAAACACTGTTTGATTGTATCTTTGTAGCTCAATATGGACATAAATCTGTTTGTCTGCAGCATCCTTCTTACTTCTTCTCTACATCTCTGATTGTCAGGTCCTCTCATGGTTATAGTGGAATATTGTAAATACGGAAATCTCTCCTACTTCCTGCGTGCCAAAAGAGAGTTCTTCTTACCGTACAGGGTGAGAGAAATAAATAACAGGATGATATAGTACATATATCCACCTTCTCACAATAATAACTGATATGTGTTCTGGTGTAACGTGTGCTTGTGTCTGCAGGACCGTTCTCCTAAAACCCAGAGTCAGGTGCGACGAATGATAGAAGCGGGTCAGGTCAGCCAGAATGAATGTCAGCCATCCACCACTTCCAACATCAACCCTCCAATGCAGTCTCGTGGTAAGAGCACTCAGAAGTCAAAGAGCAGAATGTCTAAAGATATATAAAGATTATATATTAAATATGTACAGATGTTTACCCGGTGGATAATAAAGCTGCCTTCACGTGCTATCAATATGACTGTGAATACAACTTCATGTGCAACTTATGAGTAGGAAAATCTGGTACTGGGAAAATATCATTTTGATACCCGAGTTTCTGAGCTGAAAGGAGCCATACATTTTCAACAGAAAAGAGTGAGCTTTGGGTTCAGGAGTAAACTGTAGTATTTATTCTTTTATCAAAATACTGACAACTTGTTAATTGATTTTGGTTATGCATTTGAATTGGAAATATGCTGCAATAAACCTTTTGTTTCTAACAACATAGCACTTGAACAGTGAAATAAAGCTTTAAATCAAATGTGCCACTTGCGTGGCAAAATTATTCGGTTTCAAAGCATTCAAAATGCCACAAACTGGGGACACCTGCTGGTGCATAGAGAACTCAGCACAAACATGCATATAACACGCCTATTATAAATCAACTGCAAATGTGTTGTTGAAAGTTGCTAATAGCATAGCAACATGCTCAGAAGCACTTAAAACATCCTAACAGTCTTTTTATTGAATTCCCTTCCTGATTGATATTCTTATATAATGCATTTAAGCCTTTTCTGATATTTTCTTTTGTTTTTCTTTCCCCAGCTGCAGTGGATGATCTTTGGAAGACTCCACTCACGATAGAGGATTTGATTTGCTACAGCTTTCAGGTTGCTCGAGGGATGGAGTTTCTGGCGTCTCGTAAGGTACATTTCAAACATGTATTCAAGCTCAACCTCTCTGATGAATCAAAAAAAGGTTGTAGATTATTAATAGGTGAACTTTAGAGCTCTTCTAGAGCTGTCCATGCTCATCAAACAGGGGAAGGTTATGCTGGATACAGATTTTTTACAAATGGGGACAAATACCTAGATCATATGAAAAAAAAAAACGGATGATGAGAAAGTTGCAAATATTTTAGATCTGCTCATCTATAAGGTATAGATATAGTAATCTTGATTTTGTTCTGACAGTGCATTCATCGTGACCTGGCGGCCCGCAACATCCTCCTGTCCGAGAACAACGTGGTGAAGATCTGTGACTTTGGTTTAGCAAGGGACATCTACAAAGACCCTGACTACGTGCGCAAAGGCAATGTAAGAGAAACCCTTTCAATAAAAGCATGATCCAGAAAGTTCTCTAGTGTAGTATTGTAGTATGAATCACATTAAAACTGTGAAGAAAAAAAGTCCAGGTCACATTTCACTCAAAAATAAAAAAGGACATTTTATTCGATGCATATATATATATATATATATATACAGTATATGTAATGCAGAAAGCAAAAAAGTAATTTCAAAATAATAAAAAGTAAGTATTTAAATATAATGATAGTATTTGTAGTACAGCATTTAATGTTTAAAAGAACAAATGATCATTAATTTACATCCTTACAAAACAAATTCTCAAGAAAAGGTCTTCAAGATGTGCTTGTTTTCTTATTAATTTATTTCATTTAGATTTTTATGTAAAATATGACCTGGACATGTGAAATGTGACCCCACATGAGATTCAATATGAATGCATTTCAGTAAAGGCCAGTGGTTCAAAATGACTTTGTCTGGCCTTTGCGTCATGATATAAAGATATCAGCAATCCATTGAAAATTGTCAGAAATGTTGAGGCAATATTGAATACGTAATAAATATCATTTGGAAACATAAAATACCGAAGCAAAAGATGAACATGTAACAATACTAGTAGTATTACTGCATGACATAAACATAATGAAGCAGAAAGGGTAAGTTTATGAGATTACCCTTCAGAGGCATTGATGAATGGTTGACCTACTGCAAATCATATCAGCTCCAGGATCATGATAAGAGTGTATTCTCCCACAGGCACTATTATAGGTGAAATGTTATCTGTCTTTGCAGGCTAGACTGCCGCTGAAGTGGATGGCTCCAGAGAGCATCTTTGATAAGGTTTACACCAGTCAGAGTGATGTATGGTCATTTGGAGTGCTGCTCTGGGAGATTTTCTCACTAGGTAAGAGTCTACCTGAGTCTACTTTTCTGCTCATGTACTGTATATGGTATAATACATTTTTTTCTTGTTTTTGAAAGTCTCTTACGCTTACCAAGGCTGCATTTTTTTGATAAAAAACATACAGTAATACTTTAAACTGATTTCTATTTTATACATTTTAAAATATAATTTCTTCTTTTGATGGACCCCCCTCCCAAGCGCCCATGAATTTTCTGCAGCCATTAATTAATTCTTCAGTGTCACTTGATCTCTCAGAAATCATTCTAATAAGCTGATATGCTGCTCAAGAAACAAATGAATTCTGTTCTGTCTACATTTTCTTAAACTTATATAAAGTCTTTGATCACAGACTTGATTGTATCATGTCCCATTAGGAGCGTCTCCATACCCGGGCATCCAGATCGATGAAGACTTCTGCAAGCGGCTCAAAGACGCTACCAGGATGAGGGCACCAGACAACGCGTCCCCTGAAATGTGAGCATTGGCCTGATGACTCTGTCTGAGTGTTTGATCTACTCCAAGCTGCTAGTCAGACTGAAACTCTGAGCACTCGTGTGACGTGTGATGCGTGTTCTGCTAGATATGGCATCATGCTGGCCTGCTGGCAGGGCGAGCCCAGGGAGAGACCCACGTTTCCAGCTCTGGTGGAGATACTTGGAGATCTACTTCAGGAAAACAGTCTACCCGTGAGAAAAAAAAACAAACAAACATACATTTCTGTACATTCAGTAATAATATCTGAGCATTACACACTACCTTCTTTATATTTCAACTCAGCTGGTTATAAAAGTGATAGAATGGCTAACGGTGTATATTTTAGTGATTATGTAAAATAGTTTTTTTTTTTATTTTAGGAAATCCCGTTCAATGTGTCTCAGAGCTCAGAGGATGATGGCTTCTCACAAGCTTCCTCTAGACCACCATCACAAGAGGAGATCAGACTCGCCTGCAACACAATGTCCACTCGGTACATACACATTTTTTATATCAGTGTTGGGGGTAGGGTTGCCAACCATTCCATATAATACAGAATCGGCTCGTATTTAAGGCATCAAACAAGCGTTCCATATGAAAGCTATACAGAATGCAGTTTGTCCCCGTATTTAAGCAGGGCTGCCAACTCTCACGCATTCAGCGTGACACTTTTCTCACGCTCTCACGCCACACATCCATTTTCTCACAGTCAAAAGCACCCTCAGTTAAAACTATAATAGGATATTGGCCAAAAAAATGGAGTAAAGGCTCCAGTGCGTATTTGTGTTTGCGCTCTGGAAAGCGTCAAGATTCTTTACAATGTGTTTTCGTAGTACTGAGCAATGAGCCAATCACAGACATATCTCTGTTGATTTCTTGAACACCTGTGATTGGACATTGCGTTCACTCGCCTCTAAACTTTTTCCCTGCACGCTGACTCCTCTCACTGTAACAGCATGTAAATAAGAGATTCATTAATTATAAAGCAACTTTCTGAGATCGCGATGAACTGAAGTGACACATTTTTTGTGATTTTAAAGGAATGGCTATTTGCGCACATTCTAATCCGCTCAGAATATGAATAAAAGTTTTGCTTTTCGTGTTGCCAACAGCCATAAACATCGGGTGAAATAAGTATTGAACACATCACCATGTTTCTCAGTAAATATATTTCTAAAGGTGCTGCTGACATGAAATTTTCACCAGATGTCCAAGTAATCCATAAATACAAAGAAAGCAATACAAATAAGTTCAGAAATTAAGTTCTGTGTAATAAAGCAGAATGACGCAGGGAAAAAGTATTAAACACACTTACTGAAATTTATTTAATACTTTGTACAAAAGCCATTGTTGGTAATGACAGCTTCAAGACTCCTCCTGTATGGAGAAACTAGTCACATGCATTGCTCAGGTGTGATTTTGGCCCATTCTTCCACACAAACAGTCTTCAAATCTTGAAGGTTCTGTGGGCCTCTTCTATGAACTCTGATCTGTAGTTCTTTCCATCGATTTTCTATTGGATTCACGTCAGATGATTGGCTGGGCCATTCTAGCAGCTTTACTTTCTTTTTCCGAAACCAATTGAGAGTTTCCTTGGCTGTGTGTTTAGGATCATTGTCTCGCTGAAATTATATGAATTTTGCCAGTGCTACACCATGATGTTTTGGGGTGATGTGCAGTGCCATTTGACCTCCAAACATGGTGTGTATTATGGCATCCAAAGAGTTTAATTTTGGTCTCATCGGACCAGACTATCCATCTCATCTCCCAGTATTTCACAAGCTTGTCTAAATGTGGTGCAGCAAACTTTAAACGAGCTTCAACAAGCCTTGAGTGGTGAGTGTGCATACAGGCCACGTGCATTACTTATTGTACTTATTTTCTTTGAAACAATTGTACATGCTAATTCCAGGTCCTTCTGAAGATGTCCACAAGTGCTCCTTGGCTCTTGGACAACTCTTCTTATAATTCTTTTCACTCCTCTGTCAGAAATATTGCGAGGAGCACCTGGTCGTGGCCGGTTTATGGTGAAATTATGTTCTTTCCACTTCCGGATTATGGCCCCAACAGTGCTCACTGGAACATTCAGAAGTATAGAAATCCTTCTGTAAACAATGCCATTAGTATGTTTTGCAACAATAAGGTTGCAAAGGTCTTGAGAGAGCTCTTTGCTTTTACCCATCATGAAATGTTTCTTGTGTGACACGCTGGTCATGAGACACCTTTTTATAGGCCATCAGTTGGGACTGAACCAACTAATATTAATTTCCACTGACAAGGGGCAGGATTGCTTTTTAATTACTGATAGATTTCAGCTGGTGTCTTGGCATTCCATGCCTTTTTGCTCCTCCCTTTCTTCATGTGCTCAATACTTTTTTCCCTGCGTCATTCTGCTTTATTACACAGAACTTAATTTCTGAACTTATTTGTATTGCTTTCTTTGTATTTATGGATTACTTGGACATCTGGTGAAAATTGCATGTCAACAGCACCTTTAGAAATATATTTACTGAGAAAAAGGGTGATGTGTTCAATACTTATTTTACCCGCTGTATACATTGTACAAGCAGCAAAGTTCCAGGAGTGACAGCCTAATTCCCTCATAAATGCGGGATTCATTTTCAAAATCAAGCAATGCAGGCTAACAGATTCATAGAAAATAATTTGAAATATATTAGGTTACTTATAAATAATTGCAGTTGCAATTATTTATAAAAGTAATGACTAGTAAATCTTGGAATTCTTTGTACATTGCTATTCTTGTTGTGGTAAAAAAAAAAGTTAATAGTTTTGCAGCACTGCAACAGTTATTTTCCATAATTTAATATAAAAACATAGTAGGGGAAAGTGGGGTAAGATGAGCCATTTTTTATTGATGTGGTCCTCAAGATAAGGGGAAATGACGCAGAAGTACAATAAAATTATCTAAAGTAATTTCAGGATGTTTCCTATATCATTTTAAATGATCAGAATGTATCTATGACAAAGGGTTCTAAAAATATGTCTTCTTATAAAAAAGTGTTTCTGCGGCTCAATATGCAAGGTAAGTTGACCCAAGTCAGTGGGTAAGATGCCCATCTGAGTGTAAATTGACCACCTGAATGAATCTGATTCAAACCCATGTGAAATTTTAAGATAATTTACCTCTTTTAAAAACTAATTTAATAATCAAATTTCCTTTTTCAAACAGTCATATTTCTTTTCTTAAGACTAACTTAACATAAAACCAACCAAATAAAGGTTAGATTTCAATCAGTATATATATAATACTCCTGTGTGTGTGTGTGTGTGTGTGTGTATTTATATATATTGATACATAGTTTTTTTATGGCTCATATGTGACCCTGGAGCACAAAAGCAGTCTTAAGTCGCTGGGGTATATTTGTAGCAATAGCCAAAAAAAAATTGCATGGGTCAAAATTATACATTTTTCTTTTATGCCAAAAATCATTAGGATATTAAGTAAAGATCATGTTCCATGAAGATATTTTGTAAATTTCCTACCGTAAATATATCAAAACCTAATTTTTGTTTAGTAATATGTATTGCTAAGAACTTCATTTGGACAAATTTAAAGGCGATTTTCTCAGTATTTTGATTTTTTTTGCACCCTCAGATTCCAGATTTTCAAATAGTTGTATCTCGGCCGAATATTGTCCTATCCTAACAAACCATACATCAATGGAAAGCTTATTAATTCAGCTTTCAGATGATGTATAAATCTCAATTTCGAGAAATTGACCCTTATGACTGGTTTTGTGGTCCAGGGTCACATATAGTATGATAGGGAGAATATGGAGCTCATACTCAACGAGGATAAAACACCTCAATTTTATTCACCCAAAAAAATAAAAAAATATTCAATTCGGGGAACTTGCTGATATTTATGAAATTGTGATATCTTGTAAGGTAAAGATTGAAGGAAGACTTCTTACAGATATTATTACTCTTACAGCATGGTGTATTGCTCATGCATAAAAATGACATGGTACATGCATAATACTGAGCTAACAACAAGTTGTCAGTTACCAAAATTGATTCGTCCAAAACTTCAGAAGTGTACGCTGGAGGATTTTTGTGTTTTATGACTCGTCCCACAATGTTCTGGAATGTTTCAGAAAGCACTAGAATTTTACAGAATAGTCCAGAATGTTACAGAAACTTCTAGAATGTTCCCATTCTTGTGAAAGCAAATTATATAAAAATAAAAAAAAAACATGCAAAACAAAAACTTTTCTGTACTAAACCATTTTTTCATAATTAATGATAGTTCTAAAATTTACCTGACCTAAATATTTAACAAAATGTTGATTATATAGTGCAATAGTACAATAATAATTGGCACCACAGAATTACAGAAGAACCAGAAAAAAATGTAAGTGAAACAAATTTTTGTTACATTGTGTAAAGTTCAGATCGTTAAGTGTTCTTTTTGAAATAGTGCTAACGATAAAAAAACGATTCTTTCCTTTACTTTATAAAATCAGTAAAGATTTTACAGCAAAAAGACACATGTATGTACAGGACCTGAAGTGGAAAATCTTTAGTATTAGTAATACTAGCTTTTACTTGCCAAGTATAAACTATCAACGACAGAAGTCTTCTCTGGCTTGCTTAGTTGGGGACACTTCATTTCCGGCGATATCGTTGACATAATTGCAAAGATATTATTTAAACTGAGCTGGATGATCACATCACTGAATTCAATGATGAACTGTCTTTAACTGAAAATTGAGTGTTTACTATTGTCATTTTGCATTATTGACACTATTTTCCTAATTAATGCTGTTCAGTTGCTTTGACACAATCTGTATTGTTAAAAGCGCTATATAAATAAAGGTGACTTGACAGAAGGCATGTCATAGATTGTGTACAACAGGTTTTTTAAGTTCTGAAGATGTTAAGAATTTAAAGGCTTTCATGTACATCAAATATGATTGAGTGTAGGTTTAATAGGGTTTAAGTAATATTAGTACTTTCTTCTAGAATGCTGGATTAGGAATTTGAATAAGCCATAAATAACCCTTAGTATGAAAAACACATTATGTCTATGATAAATGTGTCTTATCAATGGAGAGATGTGCTATTGTCTTTCCAATCAATCAGGCTTAGATTTTTACACGACGGACAATGAAACGGAAAAAAAATCTAATGTATTTACATTTAAGAATATCTTGGGTCTCTCAAGACCAAAATATTATAGAGACAGGATTGTGGTGGACTTTCCACTGTTCTTATGCCCCTTTGTCGAATATATTTATACAGTGGGTACGGAAAGTATTCAGACCCCCTTACATTTTTCACTCTTTGTTATATTGCAGCCATTAGCTAAAATCATTTAAGTTAATTTTTTTTCCTCATTAATGTACACACAGCACCCCATATTGATACAAAATCACAGAATTGTTGACATTTTTGCAGATTTATTAAAAAAGGAAAACTGAAATATCACATGGTCCTAAGTATTCAGACCCATTGCTGTGACACTCATAT